CCCCCCCCCCCGCCCAGCCCACACTCACACAGTCCCCATCCTCCCCTTGCACTCCCTGGAAGTACGCACTGCATGAGAATGAGCACGAGAGAAGAAACTGGACCCCTCGGTCTTAGAATGGGGTTTGTTCCATTCAGGGCAACGGCCACCTGGCCCAAAGCCATCTCCCGCTGATGCCCCCCCCCCCCCGCCCCTACCCAGCCTGCTCCCTTTCCCCTTTCCTCTGCCAGCCTATCTCCTCGGGGCTGGTGCCCTGGCCACCTCACTTCCTCTCAGCGGCAGGGCGCTGCCACGCCAGACGGAGGGTCCACCCTTGCCCTTGCTCTTGGTCCTGTTCAAATCGGACCACGTCGGAATTCCCGGCCTGCGATGCCATGATCTCCGAACAGGGAGAACCAAACACCGACCCCTTTCAGACTTTCACTTGGCCTGCGGCCCCAGAGCGCGTGAATACACTGGGACGCAGCTGTGGAGTCGGAGGCTGGGGCTGAAAGTGGAGGCACCACCTCCTGTTAAGGTAGACACAAGTGGAACACCCCATGCCAGTGTCTGCCTGCAGCTTTGGAACATAGCGCTCCTCAGTGTTTTAGAGAGGTCATCCTGCCTAAAACCTGGAAAAGAGGTCTGGCCAGGGCACTGAGAATTAGGTCCAGCCACAGCAATAACACAAAGCGCAGGACGGGTCAGCGTCGCCTTTAGAGAGAACCACCCAACTCAGGCCCGTGGACACTGCTCCACGATCACCCACTTCCGCAGCCTGGTCGAAGGAAATATTCAAATGGGAAGCCGTGAACCATGAATCATAAGCCAAGGTAAGCCATGTAATACTGGTAAGACTGTAAGCAGTATGTCATCGGTGGGAGCGAAATCCTGTTTACCATTCATGGGAAGAATTGCCAGCAGTAATGCCATTAACTACCACCCCAGGTCTGAAATGCCATTTAATGGCCAATAGTGGCCCATTGTGTGTGATGGTAAACAGAGGCCAAGGGGGATTCGGGGAGCCGCCAGGGTGTAACAGTGTGGTGAAGGCCCTTCAGCCCGGCTCTAACGGCATGGAGAGGGATTTGCGCGCAGAGCCGAGCCCCAAAGCTCCGGAGCAACTAGCTTAACTAAAGTCTTTAAGAAAGTAAATGCAGACTAACTCTCCCTCTTAATACCAGATTTGTTCAACAACGCGATTTAGGGCGCGTCTATTCAAGACCCTTTTGGAAGAGCCGGGGTCTTAAGGCTCAAGGCTTGTACCTCGCGTTTATTGTGGCTGTTTGGGTTTGTCTCAAATCTCCTTGCGGAGTGTTGCGGCTCCTAATACCGGCTAATGGGGTGCAGGAGGGAGAGAGTCCCCTCGCCTTCATTGAGGACCCATGGAAAGTATAAGCCGTCTGGGATAATGCCTGAGACAGACTTTTTTTTTCATTCCCTCCCCCCCCTCTTTACCTCTTTTCCACCCCAATCTCTGTGTCCTCTCTCCTTCACTCCTCCAGCCCCCCCCTATGTCCCAACTCTGCAAGAACAGCCATGCTCCCCCCCCCAAACATCCCTACGACCTCCCCCCCCCAGCCCGAGGCCTGTGCCCTAGAGAGGACTAAATTGAATGTGAAATGTGTAGCAGCTCGCAGCGCCAGCTATTGTGTGGGGGAGCCTGCGATCTGAGCCCCATCTCCGTGCTGCGGGACTGATTTAGTTTGACAGCCGATCAAGAGGAGGCAAGGAAAACGTTTTTCTTTTGCTTCTCTTTCTTTTTTTGGGGGGAAAATGAATGAGAGCCTTTCTCAGCACCCTCTATCCCCAGGCCCCTCTTCCTTTCACCCACAAAAAAAGCCAGACCAGGCCCAGGATGCCCCGAGCCCCAGCCTGACTCCCCAGAGGACAGACCGCAGGACAGGGCTCTCTCTTTCTCTCTGTGTGCTTAGCCTTTATTTGTCCTCGTATTTCTTTGACTGCCAGCAGTATACAGCACCAGTGCCCGTGGTGACAGCAGCGTGTTAGTGACTGGTGATCGGCTTTACCTCAGATTGTTTGCTTGACCATGGGTTTGTCAGTTACAGGAGTTTGACAGAATCCCGCTCCTGTCTTGTTTGAGATTGGTGGCACTTGTGTCCTGGGCAACTGAGGGGCTGATGGTCTTAATTACCCCTCAGCCCTTAGATAAGCACGCACACCCACACAGGCTCTGGCTGATCATATTGTCATTCAGAGTTGAGGGCTCTCCAACACCCTCATTAGCTCCAAGAAGAGACCTCAATTAGCTTGAATGTGTTCAGACAGACAGGCTGTTTACTGTTAGTGATGTGTATGGGAGAGCAGTCTGTGTTGCCCTTGTGCATTTCACAGCCTCCACCCAAACGATCACAGCCTCAGAGCCTGCGTGCACCTCTCTGGAGTGAGGGGTCTTCCACCAGGTGGAGCCAGGTCCTCCCCGCGCTCTGCTTCTGCTTCTGAGCACTGCACCTGCGTCTGTCTGGGCACAGAGTTTAAGAAACTCCCTTCTGTGCAAAAAAAGTAGAACAAAGATCTTCCAGTTCGCCTCATTATCCCTCCATCCATTTTCCAACTACTTCTTCCAATTCTGGGTTGCAGGGGAGCGGGAGCACATACCAGCAATACCAGCCTATACCAGCTTTTACCAGGTGCTGGATGGGACGCTTGTGCCCACTGCAGGGCAGATACAAACACACACACACCTATTTACACCAATTTTCCCAGACGCCAATTAACCTACCTGTATGTCTCTGACTGCGGAAGGAAATCAGAGCATCTGGGGACAAACACGGGACATCATACAAACTCCTTGCAGACAGCACCCTGGCTACGGAATTGAACCCAGGGCACCTGCACCGACAGGCAGCAATGCCAACTACTGCACCACTGTGTCAACCCCTTCGCTTGACTGGTTTTCTGAATTCTTTGTTAAATTGATGGACTCCTTTTTTTTTCTGAGGTACTCTCAGTATGTACCTTAAGCATCTATCTTGTGGACAGGTCAGCTATCATAAAGAGTCTCCTAGAATGATAGCTCTGATTTTACACAAGACAACAGACACTTACATCTGCCGATCTGTTATAAATGAAATCTGAAGCCTCTCGAAAATGTGTCCAGAACCTCTCTAAACAGTAAAACCGTATGATACTGCAGTACTGAATAGAGCTGCGCTGCACACGTGTAGGTTTTCATTTTTTGGATACACTTTTAAATTGTTGGTCTCTTAGGCAACCTTGTTTAATATGGAGTAAGTTAAATTCCTTTACACTGCCCCTTGATCACCAGAAGCAATGCGCTTTGCTCTCAGCAAATTCATGGCATTGAAATCCGAACATTTAGCGACAAGCTACAATCGCATTTAAATAATGTCCTCAAATGTCAGTTGCAGAATAGAGCAGTTTGGAGTTTTTTTGTATAGGCTTCACCAGTACCTAACTCTGCCATTCATGTCCCATGTTCTCAGATCGGCCTTCTCAAACAGCTGTCAATTTTCCCTCCATTGCCCTTTCGGTGAAATGCTGCTGACTGTACTGGCTGTGCTCATGTTGATTTAACTCCTGCTTTGTGACAGAAGGGAAACACAGAACGTGGAGACCAAATTCCTTGTGTTGTGACAAGGACCTGCGACTGCGGTATTTCAAAAGGAGAAGTTGTTAATGAGGCATGAGGCGCAATTCATATTTACATGCTACACATTGCAGTTAAGCCTTGGTAAAAAATGAAATGCCTTGTCTTGCTTTGGTTGCTTTGGTGGGCCTGGTTTGGTGGGCTTGTACAGACGTACATGAGCGTCTCTCTGCCGGCTCCTCTCCCCAGATGTTCTCTCCTTATTTAATGCAAATCACTATAATTTAGATTCCAATGCATTTCCATTGTCGCACATTACCTAATCAATGTGAAGTGCCGTGTAAAAATATTGCCTTGCTGTAATAGTTGTTTTGACCGAGTCAAGTGGCGCTCCTAGAATTCTAATCCAAACCTGAGATTCAATTATGACTGCGCCACTGAGCAGAGAAATCACTAGAGGGGGTGCAGGCAGCCTGCGGCTTCACAGAGCTGGACACCCAGTGCGCAGTACAAGGGATAGACCAATAATATGGACTGGCCTCAGTCTGTCTACAGCGCTACAGGTGTAACTACGCACATATACAACAAGACCAAGGGAACCCGTTCCCCTGTGATTTTGCTTCGAACCAAAGGCACCATTCATGTCTCCTCTGTCGCGCTCTGATTAGCAAAGGGTCTGTGGAATTTGCTGCCAAAATTCAGAGCTGCAAAACCTCATTGTCACCTTTTCTTAATAAGCTTCTGATCGTTGCAATATTGTTTCTGCAGAGACACATGGAGTGAAGGAGAGACGTGGCCTGATTTTAATAGGCACAGACACCTATGCATGGCCGCTCTCTTCCAAAACCAGAGTCGCAATACACATGATGAACTCCCAGAAAACAGGTATCTCCTGCTCATCCATCTTGTGAATTACTTCACAGAGGTAAAGCTTACAGATTCAAACACTGAACTTTTGGACCTTTGCCTGTTTAACCCTTGAAATATCAGACCTTTGTCTATGAAGGCTGGAAGGGTTATTAGGTATGTAATATCATAACCTCTAGCAGATGGTATGAGTGTATATTTGTCCCACCTATTTGACAAAGCTATAATGTACAGGCTACATGCATATACTTTTTGCCCACTTTCTATTTTTTATGCAAATGCACTCAGATTATACATATTAGGCACATAAGGACTAGTGAGATGGATAGAGTAACAAACAACGGTTCCATATTCTGATTTCTATTTTAATTTGAAACTGGAAAGGTTATTGATTAAATTGGGGAATTCCCCCAGCTGGTGCACTGAAGGACGGGTTTGACTGTGGGATGTAATGACATTAGGCAGTGCTGTTGAGCTCTGTACATAAGAGACTTCTGATTTTGGTACAGCAGGGAGTGGAGGGAGAGGAAAACAGAGTGAAAGAGAGGGAGGAAGTATACTTGAAATAAAGTTTATCTTCCCCTCCAGTCCAAGGACACCAACCAGCACTCCTTCTCTCTCTCTCCCTCTCTCGCAGTCTCTCCCTGCAATAGGAAAGGCGAATAAGGACAATGAAAACCCACTTTCAAAAAAGGCAATTTAGCTGCTTTTTTTTTTTGCAGAGGAACTTTGAAAATAAAAGAATTTTAATTACGGACGCAATTAAAAAAAGAAAAAAGAAAAAAAGACAGAAAATACTCACGCACAGTAAACAAAGCTGAAACAATTATCTTCTGGTGACCAGTCTGTTTTTTTTAGAACATTCGTTTAATCTTTTATTTACTGCAGAGAGAGAGAGAGAGAGAGAGAGAGAGAGGGGGGGGGAGTGGGGGAGGGGGTGTAAGGATAAGGGAAAAGAGAATAAGATAAGTGATGCATACATTTTAACAAACAGCCCCCCCCCTCCTTTAAAAGATGTTTTTATTAGACAAGTTATGAAGTGGGAGGGATAACGTGTGAGAAACTGCTAGCATGCAACACCCTCAAAGACAGAGCAATGTATTTCCCATTAAGAAGAATCTGAAAATGAAATTACCTTGTTAGCAGAGGCAGGAAAATTAGAGACGTTCCCAGCTCTAGAGTAGAGATTTGGGATCAAACAAACGAGCCAAATGTGGAGCTGCATGAGGACCAAACTGGCTGTATCTTAATGTCATAAGAACGGGTAAAAACAAGAGGTGGCCATCAGACTCATCCAGCCAGTTTCCTAGTTAACAGCGAATTGATCTGAGGATCGCATCCCGCAGCTTGAACACCATTGGTGTGTAGCCTACCCTACACTCCCAGAACCCTTTGTGCTGAGAAGTGACTCCTGTTCTTACACTGAAAAGCACTTTCACATGGCTTCCACCTGTTCAGGGTTCTGTGTTGATTCTGAAGCAGGCCCCCCGGTTGACTTCGTCAGGGCCTTGGAGGATTTTGAATATTTGGATGCCTTCATGGTCATTTCCATAGAAGACTAATAAGGTCCTTCTCATGAACACGGATCACGTTACTTTATTTAAGCCTTTCCAATTGCCTCTTCAACCCCCGAAAGAGCCCGGCCATACGCAAGAACATCTCTAAAACTTCTATAGAACCAGGTTCACATTCACACACTGAGTAGAAATCGTCAATGAAGCAAAACAATATTAAGTGTGTCTGGCTGTTTACCTCTAAAGCCATTTTTAGGGTTCAGACATTAGTGATGTGGTTTGTGCTGGGGAATTTGCCAGAGTGGACCTAAGAACCCCACAAGGGTACAAACTTCCTTACAGTAATGCTGACAAACAAGCCCGGTAGACAAAGAATGACCTGCTGCTCGGGCGCGTGTTCTATAAACAATATGCGCTGATGAGTCCCGTGCAAAGCCGTTTTCGACGTGCCAGATATGAGTGGGGGAATGAAGCAGGAGTGTTTTCCATTGTGAGACCGCTGGGGGGGAGTGGCTCATGTGTTAATGGCAGTGGTGGAATCTGTAATTGCTTCCCTCGCTGCTCAATAAGGATGAATATCAGCACACAATGCAACCCAATCTGCCCAAACCGCACGCCGCCGCGCATATCAGTGCAGGGCCATCCAAACTCTAAATGAGCCATTTTCAAGTTAATTATCTTCCGATGAGGCCATTTGTATTTCAAAAAATAAATAACCGTACTGAACCGCACCAGAGTCGGGGAGAGGGAGATAGCAATTAGCAATAGGAAAGTGAGAGGCAATGTGTTTGGGGTTAACAATGAGGGGACGTTTACCATGGTAAACTCGCATGCTGCTTTTCCCACTTCCTGTGGTTTACCACACTCATTCTGTTTTGCAATGCTTTAATCTAGTTCTTTATCATGTGTTTGCCATACCCTCGGCTTTCCAAAACGGTACTCTGATTTTCACCCTGTTACACTACAGTCCACCTGCATTAGAATCACTGCAACGTGCCTGCTGGGATCCCGAACCCAATTCGTGCTTGAGAAGACTGCATTAGCAAGTAATGTTGAAAATAAGGAGCACGTTCATGTGTTAAGCAGATGTATGAATTCTCCTGCCTTGCGCCCGTTGCTTGCCGGGATAGGCTCCAGATCCCCCACGACCTCGTGTTGGATCAAACGGTTAGAAAACCGATGGATGGATGAATTCATACACAGAAGTCTATGGACCGGTACCAGCTTTGGTTGCCTGGAGACACGACATGTTTTTAGGGCAAAACGGTGTAACTGTCCTGAGACGCTATATCGGTCATATGTGGGATGTAGCTGTAAATGGATACTGCTGAAATGCAGCAGTGAAATGAATGAACAGGAATGAATTTGTGAAAGTTAATATCCTTTCACATTCTACACCCATAGTAACACACATATGTATTGTGAATGGTACATATGTATGTTTGGAATAGCGGAGAGAAAGTTCCATAGGATTAATTTTCCGTGCCCCCCACCTCCCCCTATTCAGCTGTGCAGCCCGGTGCTGAAAGACTGCTCCCCCCAGCTCAGACCCAGAGGAATACTGTCTTTGTCATACCGCCGTTTTGGGGTGAAGAATAAGAGAAGTTTAATCCCCATTGTCCGGGAGGCTGGGGGGGGCGGCGGCTGTAAGATGATCCAACTGGCCCACTAATCCCCCGAAGCAGCTCCCCACACCCCACCACCCTGCCACCCCACCACCAAACAGCCTGTCCCCCCCCCGCCTTCCACCCCGATCCCTGAGTCCTGTCAGCTGGACCACAATGCCCACATTCTAACAAGGAAAATAGAAAAAAGTTACAACAACAAAACGAGCAAAAGAAAGAGGAAGAAAGAGGGGATAGAGGATGGTGAGAGCTTAAAGGGGAGTGGCAGGAGAACAGCCCCCCCCCACCACCACCCCAGCAGGCCCGGGGCCTGCTGCTGATGCTCTTTTGTGGGGATCCCCTGGCAACCAATACACTCTGCGCCCCCCCAACAAAAAAACACATACACCCCTTTCTCTAGGAAGACCCCCATAATGCCATTACAACATAACCAGCGCCCCTCTCAGCACACAACACAGCCAACACACCAATCATTTCCACGTCTATATATCTATACGTATGCGTATGGTACATATAACCATCATTCCTGCAGCCCTGGTTGTGTATTCAGAAGTTACCACGACTTCCATACATAATGCTTTTCGAACAGTGAAACTTAGGCTGGGCCTGTCTCACATTAGGCAAGTCAGCCATTGCCCATTTGGAATGAAGTGGCCATGATGGACTCGAGTGGATGCTGCATTTGGAAAGAAAGTCTGTGCAGCTGTACTCTACGTGTGCAGTGCCACAAGTACCGTGGCAGAACCCTGTTGCCAAGACCGCGGCATTGACAAACGCAGACTGGGGCTGCTACACAATGGCTCCTACGTTCTCAAGGTGAGCTGTGAAGCCCTGGGGGTGAGGCGTAGTGAGACGTGCCCCACAGAGGTGCCAGTCCCTGTTCCACTGAGGATCACAGCCATGGCGTTCCAGTCTCACTGAGCATCTACTTGTTATGAGAAACAAGGCAATTGATATTATCCTCCCCATGCAAAACACTGATGCCTACCACGGATGAGCAGTGTCAAGCTGCATGCTCTGTGGCATCGTCGTCCTGTTGCCCACGACTGAAATGCAGAATGTACAGCTCACATTGTCCTTAGCAAGACATCACGCTCAAAGAACCTGATAGAGACTCAGAGAGGCTTTGTGTTTCCATCCTCAGGGGGGCTTAAATGAATGTAATGCATATGCTCTCTGTCTTGCCCAGGTGGAAGGCACAATTTAAATCGCAGCCCATTCCAGAGACCCAGACCAGTGCTGGGAATACTGAAAGTCAGTCTGTGCTCTCACTGTTTGTCCATACACCTTCTTCACCTAACCTGCAGACATCGGTGTGCGAGTGAACCAACAGCGGTAGTGTTCAGCCTAAGCTTGGCCCAAGAGTGGGTGGGTGGGTGGGAGGGGTGGTCAACCTGTGAGTCAAAGCAGGCCGAGACCCTGAGAGCCGCCTTGCACAGGCACGGACAGAGGAGATGGAACTGAAGTTCATCCGAGAGTGAGAGAGAGAGGGTGAGCGAAAGAAAGAGCGAGAGAGGAGACAGCCGTTTAAAATTCTGTTTCCTGCAAGTGAAGAGGCTAATCCTGCCCCCATAATTCCCTCTAGCCAAAGCAACCCCCCTCTCCCCACCACCACCACCTCCCCACCCCTCCCTCTCTCTCTCCCTGCACGCTCCCTGAGTGACAGCACAATGCACAGGCCCTCGCACGCTTATCTAACTCTAGCAGATGGTCGACTTGGATCAATGCACACACGCCACGATCAATGGCTGCGATAAAGAGCGCCGGGGATGGTACTCTCCTCTCTGCGCTGAGGAGCCTGGCGCTGCCCGATTGTCTCTCAGACTGCGGCTGCACTGGCTCTGCGCGATAGGGCCCCGCCGCTACAGGCAGCCGGGCGAGGCAGGAGGTGCTCGCGGCCTGTCTAGTGCCAGGGCTGCCCAGCTGAGTCCCCAGCCACTGGGGGTTTCAGTCACTGCTGGGTCTCTCTTTTTCCATCTCTCTCCCACTTCCCTCTCCCTCCTTCCCTCACTCTGTTCCTCCGCTGCGCCGTGTGGCTCCCGGTTCTTCTCTCTGGTCTTTCAGGATCTCTCTCTTCCTCTCTGCTTCCCGTCCCAATCGCGGTCCCATTTCTGTATCCCTCTCTCTCGCACGCCCGCCTCTCTATCTGTCTTGTTCATCTCACCCAGCTGCTCTGTGTCTCTCTGTCTTGGGGTGATCCCCTCGGTCATGCCCTCCCTCTCCCCTGAGGGGCTGCAGCCATGAAAGCCACTCCTCGGGGCAGAAATCTGTGTTTGTGCGGGTCAATGGGGGACAGCCCCTTCTGACAGGTGATTGAGCTCTAGCTGGAGATAGTCCAAGCCAGGGGCGAAGCCCTCTGCCCCCCCTTATTACTGGAAATGTGGAGAAATACTGAGAAGCTCATATGCAGCAGAACTGCCTGCCTGAAAATTGACCCAGGTCATGACCTCCGGACCTGGGCCACACAGATCCTGGGCAAACGAATGAGGACACAGCAAAACCCACGTCGCCCTCTTCAGACTCAGTGTGCGGCTGGAGTGTGCTCCTTCTGTATGGTTTGACATTGCCACCAGAGTGGGAGAGACAGGGCGCAGCTTCTCCTTCCAAACACCGCCAGTCAGGCACACTCGGGAGGACACAAGGGAAAAAAGACCTCCATCAGGACACTGGCTGCCGACTAGTCTGTGGTCCTGCGCTGCTTGAAAACATTGTCAGTGCATTCACAGATACAGACTGGCCGGTGTTCAAACTGGGACAGCACGCATCCTGGGCCAGCTTTTAAACTGGGTTAGCCTGCGCTACGCGGTGACAAACTGGAGCAGTGCTCAAACTGGGAGAGGAGGCCTGCTAGGGAGCGGGCAAAATTGGGCTGCTGCTCATGCTGCGCCGAAGATTGAAGACTTCTGGCAGGAGGCTGGTTGAGGGGCGAGCGAGAGAGCCACACAGTCAGCTCGTTGGTCACCGCTCGCCGATCCAACCACGCCGCTGAGCATCACTTTGTCAGTTCGGTGGATGCAACTTTGTGCGATCAAGTTTTTTTATTAATCGCCATCTTATTTTTTTTTTTGCTGTGGGTGGCTCTGAGTTATGGAAGCAAGTGAGTGTAATTCAGTGAAGTTTGCCGAAGATTAACCCGGTCTCTCTCTCTATTTTTTTTAATTGGGTGGTGATGATGTAATGCTGTATATAATAGGTTGTTAAGCTGCCTCAGTCCTGATGGAAATATTGCTGTGATACGGACACCTCCGCTATTTATACCTCCCCAAATCCTCATGAATATTCTCTGGAAGGAGAGATATGGAAGAGGAGTGTGACAGCTCCTGCTCCATGAGTGTGCTCCTCCTTCCTGCTGGGATCACAATTCGGATTTCCCTTTAACAACAGGTATTACCTGACTGCGCCCTCCTGCTGCTGCTTTTCTGTTGCTTTTGCTTGCATAACCTGCTCTGCACGGCCTGCGTTATATCCTCTCGTTGCATTTCTCATCCGCTGCATTGACGCGAGAGTTGTAATGCCAGCGAAGACTGCATCATCGGAAATTCATGCACGCGTTCTCTAGCATAGAAAAAATGGAAGCCAATTGCATTTTTCCAGCAGTGAATGTGGATGAAGCAGACATAAGAAACAAAGCTAACTACAATATTAAAACGTGGCAATTAGCACCAGAAGTAGCTTCTGCAACAGCAATGGGATATGGTGTTTCAGTCCATACGAGGTGGAATACTTTTCAAATCACCCTCATGTGCATTTTCTTTTGAAGCACGATGCTGTTCAGAGGCAGTTGCACAGAGTGTATATTGCTTGCGTGTATGTGCCCTGTGTGTGTAAACGTGTCCTTTGTGCACATGGTTTTTTTAATGGGGGCTCTGTTCATTGCAGTGCAAGTCACTGAGGGAGAGGACATACTCCACAGGCACAGGTGTGTGTCTGTGTGTGCGGATTCATTCATGGATTAGCAGCCCTGGAACCCGAGCCTAATCCCTGTTTGGAGTGAAGTGAGGCACAGCGAATTAGCCAGCCTCACCTACCACCCACCCACAACGCCCCACACCCTCCTCACATTTCTCCCACACCCTGCCCAGTCACCTACGTCTCACATTCGCCATCGATCCAGCTAAAGACTCCCCTGAGGAATCCAGGACTCCAGAAATTCCAGCTCTCACTTTGACTGGCAACCTTCAATCTAAATTGAACCCAATCATTAAATGCAGTCATGTACAGACTATTTCAAGGCTCACAAGCACTTTCGAAGATGACTGAGATGCAGTGTGCAGTCCACACTGTTGATTATATTGCATTAGCACAGATTGGGCAGAAGTGTTGCAGGTACTAAAAGCTCTTAAGATAAATCTCCAGGGCTTGGTTGTATTCTACCAATTGTACTTCGGGAAACAATTGATGTTATTCATAGGCTATTAACACAACTTTTACAGCAGTCTCTAAAGAGAGGGTTAATACCCACAGATTGGAAAATTGTTAATGTAGCACCCATCCATGACAAAGCTGCACCAAGTAATTAAAGACAACAAGTCTTACTTCTATTAGAAGTAGTTCTGGAAACAATAATTAGAACTAAACTGGAAGATCGTCTGATCATCAAAAAGTACTACACCTGTCTTAATTTTTGTAAGTGTTTGGCTAACAGCCTATGAGTAGAATCACTTGTTTCCTTAAGTGCAATCAGCAGAATACCATTAAGCCCTGGAGACTTGTTTGTTCATAAGTGCTTCTAGAACCTGTAAAACTATGCTAATACCATTTAACACGGAACTGTTTTTCCTCAGCCTGAGGCATGTTGTCTGTTAATTCTTTAGTGAATGTCTAAGTGAAATATTAATCTAATAAATTAGTCATTACGCTGTCATCATCTAAACGTTTTTCTCTACTTCATCCTCTACTGTTGTTTTTCTGCAGCACCACTGAAAAAGTCTTATGACTAATTTTTCCTTGTACTACAATATCTTTTCTATCTCTCAGCTTTTCAAGCTTCCTTAAGATGTGCTCAAAGTTCATTTTACTTTTTTTTCTATAATGGAAAATTATTACTCATTTTTCTATAATGGAATCCCATTATTTTCAATCATTTTATTTGATTTTCATTATCTGTATGTTTCACTTGAATAATGTATTAAACAACTTGAGCCACTGCTTTTTAGTCTTGAATTCGCTTGCTCATGGAATGAGTCTGTTCTGTCCTTCAAGAAGAATCTCTTTAAACTGTTGTCATCAAAGCTTTGTCATCTAAAACTTTGTTTTAGACTGTCTGTACAGTGCTGTATATACAGTATACTGAAAAATCACATTTCCTTTATGAAGCACTAACCTGTATTCTTCTCTATCAAGATTCACACAGGAATTCCCTCTAGTAGTTAATGTGGCAAACTGAGCAAGAACATAATCGATAGTTTCATTTTCAGATCTCTGATTTTCCCTATCTATGTGAGGAAAATTAAAACCTCCCACAATAACTACTTCTTACTTTGCACATACAATATGTTCCCAATTTCTTTACATAAGACTACATTATAATCAATAGAAATTAATATACCTGTAACTAACAAATAATATAGTCATTTTAGGTATCAGGATACTCGGAACACTATATCCTTTTGATATGATATATTGATATGAATATTGATTCTGAGACCTTCAATTCTAGGTTAACCTCCTGTGTCCTAATGGTCCTTTTGCTGCAGAGTGCCATCCCCTCTTTCATCCCTCTTTGAAATCCTCCATATTCACTGTACTTCCATTCATCACCATCACTCTTTTGTTAATTTTGTTTCTAATATTCATATGTTTTAGGCCAAGAAATTTAATTATCTAGAGCTTTGAAACCTCAATTTTCCATTAGGTTCTCTTTTTGTCTCACTGTGTGTCTCATTGCCAATAGTTTGTTTTTTTTATTCTTCACCTTTCCATTTTAGTTTAAACGTTTCAGACTTTTTCTGTAGGTTGGGAAAGATTTTCCTCCATCCAGTCTGGAAAGAAAATGCCTCATCAGCAATGTTATGTGGCAATGGCTAACGTTGATGTCTGTGTTAACCCAAAGTGACCCACCAGCAGCCAGACAGGTTACTGTCTGAAGATACAATGATCCAGTACACCATGTTGGTCCCCAGTTAAAGAAGGACATGAGTTTGAGATCAAGGTGGAGCACAGATTTGGTCTTATTTTGATCTTATCTTTGATTCCGACATTATTGGCCTAACCCCTACACCAGTCCACCACCACATTCACAACAATATCGATGGTATCACTGTCACTGAGAATTTGTCACTTGTTGTCCTGTATCTTCTGTAACCACAAAAGATTCATAACCAGGATACACCAGAAAATACCACCCTTACTCACAAAACAAAGGTGGTGTCAGCCATGTTCATGCTCAACCAGCATCTGAGAGGCCTCTTGACACCACTGCTTCAGATCCTGGCCTCTTCTTGCAATGGCTGTAATCAACATCAAAGGATCAATTGTGTGTAACATCCTTAAAATACATACTGTCTATTAATAGTACAAATCATATTACCTTATAATAAAGTAAAATAAATCAATTCATAAAACGACAAAGAGGTTACGCAGACTGAATAAGCAAGTGTCACACATGTAAATGAAATAGCCAGGATGTATCTGTTGTTTGGTGTGTATCTGTGGAATCCTGTTGGTTGGTTTGTAGCAGTGCTTGAGGATACTCATAACCATTTTGGATGATTTTGCTTTGTCAGAGCATATTGCCTTTTCCTTTACAGTGAGTCATGGCAGGGCAATTTCAATCCAGTGAGCCCACGTTATGAGAAGAAATGAACTCATGTGTTTAGAACCAATAAAAATATTAGATTAGATTAGACCAAATGAATCCATATAGAAGCAACATTCCCATGAAAACGTGATTATAACTCAAAATACTCAATACTGAACCCGTGTGATTACAACCCAATGAACCCATGTATTCAAAATCAATGAAACAAACTGATTAGAGCCAATAAAGCCATATGCTTAGAACCAATGAACCCATGTGCTTACATCCAATAAACCTATATGCTTAGAACCAGTGGACCCAAGTGATTAGAGGCAATGATCCCCTGTGCCTATTACATTTAAACACAATCCTTTGTATGTGCACGTTCATGTGCATTTTGTACCATGTGTGTGCTCATACATTTTGACATTTCACACTGTCAAAAGGAAGCAGGTAGGTCACAAGAGATGACATAATGTTGTAACATACAGTAAGGTCTGTCATAATATTGGGCTCAACTTGTTTACCAGTTACTGTTTGAATAATTAAGACATAGGGTATGGGTGTCTGTTTCTGCCGCCCTGTGAATATACTGTATCAGGAGTCTGATGTACTGCACGTTTCTGTCTCTGTGCGCCTGCACCACAGTGGGTGTGGATGAATGCTTTGGGGCGTGATGTAATGTTTGTCTTTCAGATTACTCACTCACACACATTCTGTCAGACAGAAGGACAGCTTCTACCTTTCCTTCAGACAGTGACTGTGACAGTGGCGCAGCGCATTCTTCCCCATAGCAACGAGGTGAAGTTCTTCGCAGAAGAGAGCGTGCCCACATGTGTCCCGGGGTATGTTAATGTCTGCGTGGTACCCTCCCTCTTGACAACGGCGTGGGCTTCACAGATGATAGGGGTTTCCTGAACTTCCCGATCAAGGAGCAGAAACAGATACAGAGAAAAGGAAAGCAAGGGGCAGGGAAAAATAAGGAGAGGGAATGGGAAAAGACAGGACAGTACGTGCCGATCAGAGAGGAGCGCAGTCAGCGAGTGTGTGCGCTGGGGACCCGGCTCCCAGACAAGGCCAGGATTGGCCAGACTGAGGCCCATTCAGTCATTGTCACATGAGCCGGCAGAATGGAGCAGCCGCACAGTCCCCTTAATCCTGCTTAATTTGAGTGCAAAGAAATTCACATGTGCCACTAAGAACATTTACCGAGTACACTGCCTCCATTTTCCCCTGAAATAAAACACAGCTTAACCACTAAGCTTTATTGATCTCACAACTTGATAGTGTGATTAAGGAGAGAGCTAGTCCCTCAGAAACAGTACGCACTTATAGATTACAGGCTACGCTACACTGCTTTTAATTGGGAATCCATTAGCAGGCCACAGATTCTTGGCAGGGAGTCTCTTGCTCTTAAACACAGATACCTCTCTTTTTTATTATGTGCATTGGATAAGCCACTCTGTTTTCAGTCAGCTCATCACAGTAACGAGATATTCTCTTTCAAAGCCACAGCCACATTGAATATTGAAAGAGCAGGGCATATGAGTTACCGATTGAGCTGGGGAAAGAAGAGGCTGGAGAAGTGCTGTCTCAGTCGGAAACACGGGGCAGGTACAGTATGGGAGGCAGCGCTGTTTGAGTACACCCCAGTACCAGGCTGGTATGACGACACAAGACTCGTTTGGGCTAAAAGATGAGTTACAGAACCTCAGACCTTGATTACTGCAGGCTGACCTTACTGTTTATTCAGGAGCAAACACTTAGTTTAGAATTTTAAATTTTGTCAGTTACCCTTTATCCAGCCCAGAACAAGCAGGATAACTAGTTCTCCAATAGCACCTTCTATTACTGGACTATAATTGGTACATGATTTGTATGTATTGGCATTAGTGTTAGCTGACTGTTACTACTCATGTCGGTATCATTATCAACGTTATGGAGGCATATTATGGGGGTAATAATGGTATATAATATTTATGCGCATAGATAAGCGCATCTTACTAATCTTTGTCAATTTAAGCTTGATCTAGCCTAGGAATGGTCAACCTAGGCACTTCTAATCTAATGCAAGTCCTTGCTTCATCTCAGCCCTACTCTTCACCTGGAGTAATTAAGCAATTAAGAAGCAATTAGGTAATTAATTGGAAGGTTCAAGGCCCTATAAAGGCATGGAACCATGGAAGTGGCAAGGCACGGATAACTCTAGCCTCTCCAGTGTGGGTTCAGCTTTAGAAGCTCAGAATGAGCAGTTCTCTTTACAGTCTGATAAATAGAAGATGAAGCAGTTCTACCAAGCGCCCGGTCACTTGACACCGAATTCATATCAGTCTTCTATTCAGTCTTGAGGATCAGTGCTGTACCAGACCTTACACAACCAGAGGATCGCTCAGGTGTACACTGCCACACACACGGCCCACTCCACCTGTGCAGGTGAGCTGTTTGCTCCCACGCTCACTGATGTACAGAGAGGGGATGTGGGAGGGAAGGGGAGAGGGGGGTGGGAAAGAGAGAGAGAGAGAGAATCAGGTCACTGAAAAAAATAAACAGAAAAAAAACAAAAAAAAAAACAGAACAGCAGAGCAGCGGACTGAGGGAGCTGAGATTAGACAGGGGAATTGCAGTCCTGAAAGGTTTGGACTGTGACCAAGAAAGAGAATTAAGCAGCAGCCCCAATTCAGAGCCGACTCACCCCCCTCCTCTCCTCACCACTCTTTCTCCAGGACCATGTGCCTCCCACACATGACTGCTCAGTCACCAGGCTGTCCGGCCTGCCCAGACCTGGCCACTGCCCCAGGGAGAGAATCAGGGGGGCAGGACTGGACAGAGCCAAAAATGGATCCATTTAGTGATGAGAGAGAGACGAGAATGGATTCAGTGAGCAAAAAGACATTCGAATAATGTTTTTCAATGCTGAGAGAGAAGTTGGAGTTGACTGCTTCATTGTCGGGGTGATGGAGAGCTCAAAGCTGAGCAAGCTAGAGAGAGTCAGCTGAGAATGGATGGGCTCAGTGTGTCAGTGAAAAAGAAATTGCTGGAGACAGAGTGGGGTTTTTTTGTTAACTGAGATGTTAGGGAAGAATTGTTGTAGCAAAGCTTGCGGTTCTGCCTTCTGAAGCAAGAATCACAGTCTTGGCGTGAGATTTTCATGTTTCATCTCATACAGCGAGGTGGAGATTTAAGCTGCATCAAGGCCCTTTCTAGAGGAGATCTCAACTAGAGAACGAACACGTACTCTGCTCTTGGAGAGGTGCACCCAGCGGGAGAAAGAAAGAGGAACAGAGAGAGGGCAGGGCTGTGGTAGCAAAGGGAACAGGGCACGACAGTGAGAGACAGTGAGCCTGTCTCATAAGAAGGTCTAATGTGTTGTTCATAAAAAGGTCCTATAACATGTTTTGAATGTAAAGGTTCTATGTGCTTTGACAACACTGCAATTCATCAGTCATTCCAATAAAGCTCTTTGAATCTGAATTGGTATGAGAGGGGGAGAAAGTTTTGGGGCTGCGATGTGTGGAGGAACTGGTCAAGGCAGAGACAGAGCCAGGGTGCTGTATGGAGGTCGGCACCCACAGATCCTCTGGCTGGTGGTGCAGAGGTCCAGGATGAGCTGGCTGTGGAGCTGTGGGCTAGAACAGGCTCCAGGTATTCAGTGCAGCTGGTTCCTGCTGTGCTGTCGAGCTGCTCGACAGTGATGGATGGCTTTGCGTTCGCTGCCAATAATGCCCTCCTGGACAATAGCTCGGGCCCCGTGCGCAGAGACAGGGGCGCTGTGAGGCCAATTTAATTTAAACCTGTGGAATCTGGCAGCGGCTGCGATATTCCTCGACTCCGAGCAGACCTGCCTGCTTCCAGCCGGCCACGCTTTGTTTGCAAGATCCCAGAGTTTTCCCCTTAATTAATTTAACAGAAACTAATTAAACTCTTGCTTTCAGAGGCCTGCTTCGTGCACCGTATGGTACAAAAGAAAGGTACGAAGGGGGCGAGAAATTAGAGGACTTTGCCAGCTGACAGCCAGAACTAAATAATATTAGCCCCTTGAGTCCGGCAGCCTGCTCTTATTAAAAACACAGAGACCTGCACTTCTGAAATTAAAACACTCCATCCGCTGCACAGGTTTTATTGTTAATAAGAGTTGTGGAAACTCCTTCAGCACAGGCCCGGCAGCAAACCCCACAGTTTTATTCATTCTGTGGTGTAGGCCATGAGATAGCTCATTGTTATTCTTGAAAGGCAATAATGCATTTGGCACTGACTCCACTCCTCGCTTCAAGCGTGGTTTCAGAACGCCTTTTGTGCAAACTTTTGTTATTTCACACTCAGTTTCTTTTTGAGTTTCAGGAGGCTTATTTCATTTTTTTTTT